CTTCATCCTGCAATCATTTTAGTCTCCAGTGTGCAGAAATAAACAGGTTATACCTAATTCTGACTCAACTGAGCACTGCAGGGGAGGCAAGGGCTCAGGGAGTCCAGGAGAAATAAGGAAGAAGAGCCCCTTTCCATCAGTGAGGCCGAAGGACTCTGGAGAGGTTCCACAGGGTCAGTGCAGGGCTCTGCAAGCCCAGAGCTGCAGGGAAGGAGCTCTGGCCACACTTTCCTCCTGAGCTACTCAAGTGTAATTTACCTCTGCTGCAACAAGAGTCTATTTAGCATTCCAGAAATGGCACACACGTGTCTGGAGCCAAGGAGAAGTGGTTGGAAACACTTTGCACCCAGCAGCTCCATCAAACTGATCACTTGGTTCCCCCAGCAAAGTGCAGCACAGCCACCATGACTTTCCAAGGGAAGACTTCAGACTCTGTGAAGGGAAAATGCCACGTCCTGTCTGTGCCCACTCCTTTTTCCCACCCTGTCTTGAACAAAGAAGAGGGAAATCCATGTTACTTTACCCATAATAACTTGGGGTTCTGCCTTGCCATCAATAATTCCGCTATATTAAAAATTTTAAGAGTAAAAGAAGCCATCAAAATGTACCGGGAAAAGAAGATATTTCCAAATTCAAACACTGAATAAAGGGTTTACATCCAGCCTTACATTGGGCACAGCCTGTTAGAGACAAGAAGTTAGAGACAAGCTTATCACCAGGGGTTTGGTGCTGCACAAACAGCAGCAGCTGCTGGGACCTGGCAGAGATCCTTCCTCATAAACTGCCTCATGAAGTCCTGCCACAAACTGCTGAGTGCTCTGGATCCACCCTGGGCGTGGGGCACCAAAGGAACCATCACCTGGAGGAAGAGCACGTGCTGAGCCACAGGAGCAGGACACTGTGCAGATGGAAAAGTAACAGTTCCTATCAGCCTTTAACAGCTGGCAGCTCTGTGGTTTCATGTACTTCCCATTGCTGCAACAGCTATTTTAGGCAAATGGTCATCACAGAAATTTCCCTGACCCCTGAAGGAGGACATTAAAACAGCTAAAGCCAGAATTGCAAAGCTGGTCAGAGGTGTTGCTGCCTAAATCACTTGAGATTCTGCAGCTTCCTCAGGCCATTCCCAGATACAGTTTCTTTGCTTTCCTCCTTACCCACCATGCTCTCTAAATTGCTTCCAGGTAATTTATAATCAAGGTCAGGAAACTGGGAGAAGCCTGGAGGATTGGTAGTAAGCAAATCTCTTTTATTGGTGGTAGCTTTTCCTGACTCTGAGGGTGTCCCACGGCCCTCAGGAGCTGCATGTGCCATCCTGTGACTGCAGCAAGGGCACAGCTGCAGCGCAGTGCTCGAGCACGCAGCGATGCTGCAAAACACTTCAGGGCAAGGGAGACGCAAACAGAGCAGGAATTCAGGGTCTGTTCTCTTCTAGCAGCGCCCAGACTGCAGCATTTGGGCAAGAAATGCAAGCTGAGGGGGGAAAGCATTCTTTAGACTCAGGGAATTCCCCACACTCCTGTGCTGGGCAAAGGCAGAGCTGGTGACATGGCCTGACTTGCCTGTGCAAGCCACAGAGCCCATTCCAATGACTCCTGAATGACACAGAACAAATCCCATCTTCTTGTTAACTCCTCTCTCATTTCTCCTCTCTTCCCTTTTCACCCTACTCTCTGAGGTTCCCAAAGTTATTCCTCAGCTGCAGTTCTCTGGGGTCCCTGTCACAGTAAGACACATTTGTGCTCTCCTTCTGCTGTGTTCAGACCTCACCCAAACCCCAGTCCAGCTGCTCCTCTGCTGACACCAGCTTTTATTTCTTCCCAGCAGGACTGCACCTTGCATTTCCTCTGGAAGCCATGTCTGGTGTGCCTGTTACTCCACAAGCTCACAAGCTTCAACACGTGTCCCACAAGAAAACGTCACAAAGCAGCTGTTATAGGCAGCAGGGGATAAACCTCTCCAAGGAAATTAAATAAAAGCCATTTTGGCAAGGATTCCCACTGCAGTGCTGAGAACTCAAATCCCAAAGTGGCACATGAAGTTGAGGCAGTCGGGCTTGTGGATAAGCAGGGCCTTTGTCACACCCTGAGAACACGGATCTGCTGCGGCTACGCCGACACCGCTTGAAACAAAAAAAAAGACAACGAGAAAGAGCTCCTTTCAAATAGGGCCAGGAAGAGGTAAAGGCAGCTCATTGATTTTATTTTAAAGCACTGGATGTGCTTCCATGGGTAATTACAGGCTGGGGAGCACAGCCATGCTCAGAGCCAGCAGCTCTGGGGGAGTCCCTGATGTCGGGCTCCAAACGCTCCCCAGCTCTGCAGCCCTGTGCCCGCCTGGAAGCAGCAAGAACTGAAACCACCTAATCTGTCTGCTTTTCTAAGCTAAATATAGGACAAAGGAGTGAAAGGCACAGATGGCGAAAGCTCTGCAAGTTTTTAGGTTCTCCTGCTCTAGGAATTTAAGCTGCTGAAGCACAACACAAGGCTGAGCCTTGTCAAATACCTTCACAACCGGGCAAAGCCCAGCTGTACTGATCCCAGCTGTACTGATCCCTGCTGTACTGATCCCTGCTGGGATCCGGTCACTCACGTGAGGTGGGATCACAGGAACAGTCAGGTGAAACACCTCATTCACATTTCCCTGATCCAGCTGCCTCTCCTGACCGCTTTCTTGCAAATTTCCACATGGAAGAGGGACAAAAACACACCCCCGTGCAGAAAGGACTCCGAGTGGAGACACAACAAAAAGGACAAGGGATTATTTCACATGCAAATGTGAGCAGAATATAAAGGCAGATTAATGATTCAGTAGCAAAATTCTTCCAGGCAAACGAGCGTGGCTGAAAGAAAACCCACAGGGAGGGTGAAGATGAGGTATTCGGAGGAAACAAAACTGAAACAAAAATAATTAATCTTTTTTTTATACACCATTAAACTGGGTTCAAATTGCATTTCTGCAAAGATCCACAATCCTTGTTCAAGTGAGGGGCAGAATCAGATCAATCACCCAAACAATTAAGTCTGGCTAGCAGGAAAACAGGCAGAGATGCTGAATGTTTTGGGACTCCTTGTTCTCCTTAGAACTACCCAAAGGATACACAGGTGAACACTAAGAACTGGCCCAATCAGAGGGAAAAAGGGGCACTTTGGGTAAGCATATGCTGTAGCAGTGGTAAGGAGAGACTGAAATACAAAATTAAGCAAAAGCACCAGCAAAACTGTATTTATGTAAAGAAAGAGAGTTGTCCATGAGAACAGCACTCACAGGAACAGCACCCAGGGTAAAGCCCAGCTCTGTTTTACCTTCTATCAAGAACTGCTCTCACCCACCTCTCTGTGCTACAAAATACTTCAATTTTGCCTCCGTACCAGGAGGCTGAATCTGTACTGACTGCATCACACCTGTGTGAGGTGAATGAGACAGAAAGCTCGGAAGCTTGGGATGTCAGAAATCCATTTTTAAACCAGCACCCAGAGCAGCTCCATCGCTCCTCCTCTGGGACAGCGCTGACAGGGCTGGAGCATGGAGCCATTGGTGACCCCAAGACAGACCCTGCACTGCCCACTCAGGGTGTGTGGGGATGGTCTGGGGCTCCACACACCTCAGAGGGCTGGGATTCATGGGTCACACCAGCACTGAGCCCACACAGGTCACTTCAGACCCCTCGCTGTGCACCGGAGCGTGTCCAGCAGCAGGGATGGAAAGGACCTGCTCAGAAAGCAGAGGACAAGCTCTGTGCGGTGCTGTGGCCTCACCTGCACCTCACGGGCACGGCACCTTTCTGTTCACGCTCCTGTGATCCCGCAGCGATGCAGAGCGAGGTGGTGCCCGCAGCCATGAGATAACACAGGCAGCTCTTTCCCCGCCGTGAAGGGAAACTGAGGCACCGCTATGTGCCCGGGGCCCGCCCCGAGCAGCCGCGGCCGCATTTCCCGGCAGAGCCTCACGCCGGGAGCACCCGCTTTTCCCCAACGCCCCTCGCAGCGCCTCGGACGAACTTCACAGAAAATGACGGAATACAATGCCAACACCTCGCTAGAGCTCGTGTTCCCCTCTCGCCTCCCGAGCTTCCACTGCCGCCGCCCGCGGCCCAGGGCCGGCACCGCCGGGCCGCGCTGGGCACCGACACCGGGGCAAAGCCGGGCTCCGACCCCGAGGAGGGGCGGCAGGGCCACTCCGGGCAGCCTGGGCCCGCTGCCCCCGGACACCACAGTGGCCACGGCCTCGGACACCCCCTGATCCTCGGACACCCCCTCCGGCCCGGCGGCTCCACAGCCCGAACGGGCCCTCAGCCCCCCGGGCCCGGCAGCTCCCCACCGGCGCTGCCCCGCCGTCCCAAACCCCCAGGCCCGGGCTCTCGCCCCCCGCAGCCCCCCAGGGAGGAGGATGAGGAGAATGAGCAGGATGAAGAGGAGAAGGAGGAAGAGGAGGGGGCGCCTCACCGGGAGAGGTGCTTCAGGATCTGCTTCTTGATGATGCCCGCCATGCCGGGCCGGCGGGTCAGGCCCGCGGGCGGCGGGACCCCATCGCGCACCGCCCGCTCCGCACCGCCCGCCCCCGGCCGGCCCCTTCCCGCACCGCCCCCGGCCGGCCCCTTCCCGCACCGCCCCAGTCGTGCTCCGGGTGTGTGCGGGGAAAGAGCGACCACAGTGAGCCCCCGGACATCCAGGGATCTGCTCCAGGGCCCCCACTCGGACCCCACTCCAGGACTAACCCAGGAGCCCCAGGAAGCCACCCCGGGATCCTTCAGGACTCCCCTCTCGGAGACCACCCCAGGACCCCACCCTGGGATCCCTCCAGGGACCACCCTGGAACTGCCCTCCGGACCCCACCCGGAATCACCCCCCAGACCATCCTGGAGCCACCGCAGGATCCTCCAGGAACCCCTTCCCAGGGGTTCTCCCATCAGCCCTGACTTCCCTCACAGCCCAGCACTGCCCCTCCCACCCTTATTTTCTTCCTCAGGAGAGAATTCAGAATGAGGCTCTGAGTCCATATGGAAACAACAACGTTTATTCTTGTTTTTATCATTCAATTGAGGGGGAAAAAAATAATACAATTGAAGAGACACCCAAAAAGCCAGACCTCGTACAAGTCAGTGCAGGGTGTGTCCATTCGTACGCTGAGGTTACAGCAGAATCCCTCTACACACTGAGTACAAAGCCCCAGGGACACAGGTCTGTGGTGTTTGTCATAGGGAAGGTCCTATTATGAAAAGGCAGCTCCATCTCCATCTTTATCTGTCTGGACGGGTCATTCCTGGCCTGGTTGGCACCATCATGGGTCTGGAGGGGGGTCTCATCATTGGGGGCCCTGGCATCATTGGCATGTGTCCTCCCATGGGCGGCCTCATCCCAGGAGCTGCCAGGGGAAAGACAGGTTAGAGAACAGCTCTTGGGAGCACCACCTGCCCAGTCACGGAAGAACATGGGTTGGGATGGACCTTAAAGATTTACTTCCACTCCCCTGCCAGGGGCAGGGACACCTTCCACTATCCCAGGTTGCTCCAAGCCCTGTCCAACCCAGCCTTGGACACTTCCAGGGATCCAGGGGCAGCCACAGCTTCTCTTCACAGCAACAACTGCCTCATCACCATCAGAGAGGGGAAATTTCACAGTTACCCTGCTCCAGGGAACTCCCATTTTCCAAGTCTGTAAGCTCTGGCCTGGCAGCTGCTGAGATGGATTCCACTCCCTGAGGAGCTCAGCCAGCAGCAGAGGAGGAACCAAGCCCCTGGGTTATACACCCATTCTGACAATATTCACTCACAACTTATTTCCAGCTACTCAAGAGACACAGCAGCTTAATTACTGATCTGGAAAAGTGTTAATTTGAAGAAAAGTGCTGCAAAACCATCCCATGTGCTCACAAACAAGCACAGAGCACCTCTGCCAGGGAAAAGCAGGGCTCCACTGCACAGCCCTGAAATAATGGTTTCCATCCCACTTGGCCATTTATTTTCACCAGGCTGCTGAGTATCACACACTGTGCATTTATCTTGAGCCTTTTAAAACACTTAAAGAACACTTTCAAATGCAAGACAATAATTACAAAGACACTTCACTACTTTCAGTGCACGTGTGAGTGTGTGTGTTCCAATAAATTTGTTCTGGGAACTGTTCCAATAAGATATCCCTTGAGAATTCTTCAAATGCCAGGAAACTCAGGAGTGGAATGGATCAAAGACATTTTAGTCTACAGTTCTGATAAAGCCTTTTCCAGGTCCATTGTTTCTCTGGAATACATTCCCCTGAGACGCTTTAAACAGTAAAAAAATCATTTAGTGCAAAAAATGCACCTCTTGTGCAAAACACTAGAGCTGGTGGCACCAAACTCCTGAACAATCACAGCTCAGAGCAGAGGGAGAACAGCTATGACTTCCCAGAGCCATAATTCCAGCTGCACAGGGGGTTGGTGACTCTCAACAAGAAGCAAAGTGGTTTAATGACTGGTTGTAAAATTGTTGTAGTCTCCCCATGCAGGGATAACAGTGACACGGGTGTGACCAGAGTGTGACCAGCCCAGCACTGAGTGCCCAACAGATGGTGGGACAGGAAACATCCCCCAGACCTCCCCATCCAGCCCCCCATGGCAGACTTACCCCATCCCAGACTTACCAGGTCCAACTGGCATCATTCCCGGGGGGGGTGGGCCCATCATTGGCATCATCGGGGGCCCCCCCATGTGTGGGGCTGGCATCATGCCGGGCCGGGGGGGGCCAGCTGCACAGACACAACAGTTACACACTGGCACCCTCAGCCACCAAAGAGCCTGCAGCTATTCACAGCACATGGCAGTAATTAATGCCTCAGGGGCCTTACATCTGCCTCTGCTCCAGCCCTGATTCCAGGTGCTAGGAAGTGACCAGAGGAGGAATATGCTGGCTACCAACAGCCAGCACAGGGAGCTGCCACTCCCAAGAGCAGGGAGGGCTCTGGGCCCTTCACCAGCTCAAGGGCAAAAGGTTACCAAAGGGATTTCTATTTAGAAAAACCAACCCAAACCAACCCACTGTGCAGTTTTAACAGAGCCATGGGAGTCCCCACAGAATGAGGGGTTGTCACTGCTTCTGGTGCACTCAGCATCCCAGAAATCACACACAGTAAGGACTGAACTGCTCTTACACAAAATTTCCTCACACCATGAGAGCACAAGCTCAAGGTGGCTTGGCTTCAAGCTAAAAGGCCTTTTCTTTCCAAGCTGAGGACACAAACAATACAGCTCTCCAGAGGGCCCTGATCCCAAAGTGCCCCACACTTACGGATGCTGGGAGGAGGTGGAATCATGGCTCCGGCCGGAGGTGGTGCCGAGAACGGCGTCGGTGGAATTTTCCCTTGCTGGAATGCAGCCGCTACATTGGGGGGGAAAAGAAAAAAAAAAAAAAGGAAAGAAAGAATCCCAGGGAAAAAAAAAACACCAGTTACTAGGCCGAGGAAGCGCCGGGTCGCTCGTCCGTGTCATGCCCCGCGGTCACGTCATGCTGCGTGCGCTGCTGTCCCCACGCCGGACACATCCCTGGCACCTGGGGAGCACCTGAGACTCCTGGAGACAATTATTGTTACAGCTGGGACTAGAGAGCTCCTGCGTGGATGTCACACCCCTGGGCAGGGTGGGAGGGAAGGGGGGTGGGAGAGGAGAAAAATAAAAATCAACCACGTGGCGGGATCCGCAGCGTTCCACCGGAACATGCTGTGCTGGAATGGCAACGGGGCCAGGGCTGGGGAGGGGGCAAGGAAGGGGAGGGATTCCACTGGTATTGACTGGAAGGAAGGGAAAAGGTGGGGAATTGGAAGCATCACAAGGAAAATAGACAAAGGGAAATAGAGTGAGGATGAGTTAGGGGAAATTCAGATTGGATTGTTTTAGGAAAATTCTTCACCCAGAGGTGGTTGGGCACTGAGCACTCCCCGGGGGAGTGAGCATGGCTCTGAGTGTCAGAGCTCAGGGAGCAGCTGGGTGATGCTGCTGGTCTCATGGCTTGGTCTCAGGTAGTCCTGCACGGAGCTGGGAGTGGGACCAGAGATCCTCAGGGGTCCTGTCCAACCTGAGATACCCCACGAGCCAAGGAGTGCTGCCACACAGCTAACCTGCTGTTTGCACTTCTTTCATAGAGGAAAGAGAAAAAGGATCTCTTGAAGCGACAGAGGAATCAATGCCACACCTCAGTTAAGCCTTTAAATGCCAGGAAAAAAAAATCACTTGGCAACTGAGGGCAGGCAACCCCAGCATGTGAAAAATGCAACAATCCACACATTTTTGTGTCTGTTTTCCTATCTTTTGAAATTCTTATCCGTGCTCTTAGCAAAAATGTGCCACTGCCAAGCAGCACAAGTTATGTGGCCCTGCAGGATATCACTGAGAGCCCTCATGAACAGTGACATGGAGCCACTGCCACCAGCCCTGGGAGGGAACCTCAGCTCTTGTGTGGTAGGCAGAGCTCTCAGGCTCCCCCAGGACAGCCCAAAACCTGAGGAACTCAAGATCCACACTCCAAGATTTCACTCATGACTCACTGAGCAAAGACTGCCCAGGAAAGTGAGGAAAAGTCAAGGTGGAAGCAGGGAAGAGCAGCTGGAGGAAAGGCAGGGGAAGGAGTGGGGAGGCAGCCGGGGTCACAGAAAGATTGGCCTTACTTGTTTTGTCAATCAGGCTCTGGGCTTGCTCCTCCATCCATTTCTGGTAATAATCCTTCACGTTCTCCTTGTGCTTCCGGCCACTGCAGTGGGTTTTTCTCACGGAGGGCTGGGAAAGGCCACAGAAACCCTAAAGTTACCAGTGCTCCTCATGATTCTAAACACGTGCAATTTAGCAGCATAAAGCAGGTTAGTTTCTGTGCCCAGGCAGAGGAGGGGCGATGTACAAAACTTTTATATAAATTTTTATCAAGACAGTAAATATTGACTCTCCAGTCTGCCCTGAGACCCCCTCAGCTGCCATCTCTGACCCTGCCACTGCCCCGCTGCAGAACACCAGGGGCGTGGCACGTTCTCCCTCTTTTTTCATGGAAAGGGAAATCACCCAGGAACACCGCTGTACCCCACAGGCCCCGCTTTTAGCCGAGATAAATTTTATTTTAATGCTCTTGACGCGCGAATGAATTGAAGCCGAGGCTTTGGTACTCACCGAGTCATGGGTGAGGTACGTGTCACAGTAATCACAGTAAAACCTGCCGGGGAAAAGCCTGGTTACTGAGAGCCCGCTGCGAGCGTTAACGGAGCCCGGGAACGACCCCGCAGGCCGCCAGCGCTCGGCCCGCCCGTCATCCGCGCCCCTCACGGCCCTGAGCTCACGGGGCGCACCACGACCCTCGAGAAGCAGCGATCCCCACCCGGGGACCCCACCCGGGACCCCCGGGAGCCCCGGCCCGGCCTCACTTGGGCATGGTGCTCCCGCCGCCGCCAGCCGGAAGTGGCGCACACGCGCACTGACGCACTCACACAGCGCCGCCGTCCGCCGCTTGACCCCCGCCGGCTGCCGTAGGGCGCGGAAGTGACAGCGGATGGGCTTCCCGGTGTCGTTCTCCTCGCCCGGCAGGTGGAGCCATCCCGCGCCCGCCCGTCCCTGGCTGGTCACGCCACCATCACCCGCCCACAGCCCCGGCAGCGCCCCCGCGGCGCTGCCAAAGCGTGTTCTCCGTGTTCTCCGTGATCCCCTCGCGGAACACGCCCCGAGGTTCCGATCGCCAGCCGAGCACGGAGCAGCCTCGCGCTGTCGAAAATTGCAGGACAAACATCATTTTTAGGCGGAAAAAAACACCGAAGGTGCTCCCGTCGAGCCTTGCGCCTCTCATTTGCATGGCGCCGCATGACGTCACGGAAGCTAATTTGCATACACAAACACGCGCACTCGCCGCCATATATGGATGGCAGCGCGCGAGTGTGGGCGGAGACAAGCGATCGCCCCGCCCCCCCGTGACGCGGCGGAGCCCCCCGAGTCACGCGCGGCGCTCATTTGCATGCGAGGCCCCGCCCCCTCGCCCTTGCCTCGCTCCCTCCCTCCCCCCGCGGGCGTGGGGTGACGCCGGCCGGGGGGTGACGCCGCGCGCCGCGCGCCGCTGGGCGGGGCGGCGCAGGCGCAGTGCCGCCGGCGGCGTC